CTCATATAAAAACACACACAACCCACAAATATTTTATTTTCACACACACTACATTTAAAAACAACAAGCATATCATTATAACACCCATTTACATTTAAAAATTAGAAATAACCCACTTACCTCAATCTTTTTATTTATATTATTGTTGGTGTTGTTGATTTTTTTTCTTGTGTTTTCTATTTTATTTTATTATTTTTTTTTGTTAATATACTGTTTTTTTTTTTTTTTTATAATACACTTACTTTTTTTTATATAAATTTTATTTTAAAAATTATTATTATTCATATTTGTTAGTTTAAATTCTAATTTATTTATTATTTTTAGATTATAAAAAAAAAGAAATATAATTTTGTAATAGTAGTAATAAAAGAAAAACAATAGAATGTCAGTTAAAACAGGCAAAGAAGCTCTTTTATTATGGGCACAAGTTAGAACTCAAGGTTATCCAGGTATTAAAGTTAATAATTTTACAGATTCATGGGGTGATGGTAAATATAAATCAATTAGATAATCCTTTTTTTAGATTTCTGAATAATTTATTAATAGTTTTATATGTTTAATTTTATATAGGTTTAGCATTTTGTGCTTTAATCCATTCCTATGAAGGTGATAAGTTATTTAGTTATGAATCATTATCACCAGAAAATAAAAAAGACAATTTAGCATTAGCTTTTGGTCATGCCCTTAAACTTGGTGTACCTGATTATTAGGCCCAGACTATTGTAAATATTAAAATGAAAAAAAAAATAAAAAAATTTATACTAATATTTTTTTACTTTTATTTTTAATTATAGTATTAATTCCAGGTGGTTTAGATAGAAGAAGTATTATGACATATTTATCAGAATTATACCATTATTTTAAAAAAACATACCCAGAATCACCAGACGCACCTTACTCAAAGAAAAATGGTATTCAAATAAATCTTCAAGAGTTATCAAGTGAACAATTAACACAACTTTTAATGAAAGAAAGAGAAAAGAAAGGTATTAAGGCTAAACTTCCAAATGGTGCAAATCAACCACCAAAGAAAGATCCAGCTCTTGTTGCAAAGAAAGCCGAAGAAGACAGATTAAGATTAGAAAATAGAAAGAGAATTGAAGAAGAGGCACGTGAAAGAAGAAGAAGAGAAGAAGAAGAAGAAAAATATAAACGTGAAGAAATCCAAAAACTTAGACAGCTTAATGATCCAAATGCCAATAATAATGCCATCCTTAAAAATAGAATTAAAGAATTTGAAGAGCAAGAAAGAAAAGCAAGACAAGAAGAAGAAGAAAGAAGAGCTGCTAGACAACAACAACAATCATCTAATAAGAGAAGCAGTGTTAGTTTAACCTATCAACAAGCTGCTGCAGCTCTTTCACATCCAGATGAAAACCCAGTTCAACAAAGACAAAAAGAATTGGAAGAAATTAATAGAATGCGTAAAGAAAGACATCTTTCTGGTGTTTCAAATAATCAAGATGAATCATCGGGTAATTCAAGACTAAAAGAATTGGAAGAAATCGACCGTCTTAGAAAAGAAAACAAGGGTCCATTAGCTAACGGATCATCTACTGAGCAAGATTATGAAAATAGAGTTTCATCAAGACAAAGAGAATTAGAGGAAATTGAAAAATCAAGAAGAGAGGCCAATAGTAATAATGTATTCCTTCAAAATAATGGTACATCAGAAAGCAGAGTTTCATCAAGACAAAAAGAGATTGAAGAAATCGAAAGATTAAGAAAAGAAAAACGTCAATCAGTTAGTTCAATAAGCTCGTTAGCCTCTGATGAAAATGGTGGAAGTAGTACAACTGAAGGCCTCAATCAACTTAAAAGTGCAAGACAAAGAGAATTGGAAGAAATCGAGAGAGAAAGAAAACAAAAAAGACTTTCGACAATTGGTGGTGATTCATTTGATGCATCTGATTTACAAAAAGCAATTGAAGAAGAGGAAAATAAATTAAAGCAACAAGAAACTATTGTAGAAGAACCAGAACCAGAACCAGAAAAAGAACCAGAGTTAACTAGAGAACAAAGATTACAAAAACTAATAGAAGAAAAAGAAAAAGAAGAGGCTGAAATGAAAGAACGTGAACGTGATCGTGAACAACGTCGTATTGAAAGAGAAAGACGTGAAAAAGAAGAAAAAGAAAAAGAAGAAAAAGAAAAACTCGAACGTGAACGTGAACGTGAACAACGTCGTCTTGAAAAAGAACAACGTGAACGTGAACAGAAGATTAAAGAAGACAGAGAAAGAATCGAGCGTGAACGTGAAAAAGAAGAGGCTCGTGAACAACGTCGTCTTGAAAAGGAACAACGTGAACGTGAAGAAAGAAAACTCGAACAAAAGATTAGGGAAGAACGTGAACGTGAACGTTTATTAGAAAGAGATAGAGAAAGGGAACAACGTCGTCTTGATAGAGAAAAAGAAGAAAAAGAACGTGAAGATCGTCGTCTTGAAATTGAAAGAATTGAAAAAGAAGAAAAAGAAAGATTCCAAAGAGAACAAAAAGAAAAAGAGGAACGTGAAGCTAAAGAAAAGAAAGAAAAAGAATTAGAAACCTACGAAGAACAACGTAAGAAACGTGAACAAGAAAGAAAAGCAAGAAAAGAACAAATGGAAAGAGAAATTGAAGAGGAGGCTAAAAGACTTGAAGCAGAAAGAGAGGCTAGAAGAATTGCTAGAGGTGAGGAGCCAAGATTATCACCAGCCACTTCATCATCACCAACACCAATTTCAAGTACCTCACCATCAAACTCAAGTAGCTCACTTATGAGTGGTACCTCTTCATCTGGTAATGAAGAATTAGAAAAACGTAGAAGAGAAAGAGAGCAACGTCGTATTGAACTTGAACAAGAAACTATCAAACTCGAAGAGGAAAGAAAGAAAAGAGTTGAAGAAAGAAGACTCGAAAGAGAAAGAAGAGAAAGAGAACTTGAAGAGGAAACCAAAAGAATGGAAGCTGAAAGAGAAGAAAGAAGAAGAAAGAGAGAAGAGGCAAAAAATAATATATAATTTCAGCAGCACTTATAACATTTTTATATAATATATTAATATAGTTTAAAATTTAATAAATAAATATTATTAATTATAAATTATAATTTTTTAAAACTCATAAATTAAAAAAGAAACTATATTATTAATTTTCCAATATCAAAAAAAAAAAACTATATTTAAATCAATTCTTTTATTTATTGTAAATTATAAAAATTTGAATAAAAATTTTAATTTTCTTTTTTTTTTTTTTTAACTATTTTATTATAACTATAGTTTTAATTTCTTCAAAATAAATAAATATAAATTTATATTTTCTTAAAGCTTTTTTTCCCATATCTAATTTATTTTAAAGATTATAAATAAAATAATTTTATTCTATTTAGATCTTAAAAATATTTTATTAAAATTTTTTTTTATAAAAAATAAATTATTTTAAAATTTTATAAATAATTTAATTATTTTGTTTTTTTTTCTATTTTTATAAAAATTAATTTTTTTTTTTTTTTTTTTTAAAAATCTTAATTCAATAATATATCGAATAAATATAAATAAAAAACTCACTTAATTGTATATAAATATAATTATTTTTTTTTAAAAAAAAAATGATAAAAAAAACTTTATTTTTAACTCTTTTATATTTTGTTTTATTATCCAATGATCTAATGAACTATTTCATTAGCGACACAATAAAACGAAGTGTCGAAAATCAAAAAAAAGCAAAATCTATAACCGTAAAATAAAATTTAAAAGAAAAATTCAATTCAATTCTTTTCTAAACAACTTTTTTAATAAAACAGGACCAGAAATCCAATAAATGTATTGCGAAAGCAGTCAAAATATAATTTATTAATCACATTTGTGTAAATAGATAATAAAAATTCAAAAAAAATAAATACTAATAATAATATTATTTATAATATATAAATAAAATAAATAAAAAATATAATAATTTTAAATTGAAATTATTATTACTAAAATTAAAAACAAATAAATTCAAAATTAATACTCAATGTTTTTTAATAAAAACTATTATTTTTTCAGTAATATTTTTGAGGTCTTTTTTTCCAAAATTTAAAAAAAAAAACAAATTACTATTTGTACTTGAAAAATTTAATTTTTTTAACATCAAATTGAATTTCCGTTCCGAATAATGAATTCTTTTAAAATAATTACAAAAAAATAAAATGGTTAAAAAATCAAAAAAAATAGAAAAAAAATTGTTAAATTAATAAAAGGGCGGAAACAAATTATGATGTGCCTTTATAAACTGTTATTTTTAAAAATGGATAAAAATGAATAATTTTTTTTAAAAAAAATTTAAAAAAGAGATAATTTTTTTATAAAAAATGGATATTGAACATGCTAAAAATAATTGGTAAAATGAAGATAACGATAATTTTCGAACTCTAAAGTATATTTTATAAACCTAATTAATAAATATATTTAAATAAAGACTTTTTATTTTTAATTTTTAAATTTAATTTTTATTTAAGAATTCATCAATTTTTTTTCTTGATTCCTTTTTATAAAATTCATTTGTGTTGTCACAGAGTCTAACTAGTTTCCCATCTACAAAACCAACATTCATAAGATTTATATATGGAGTATCTACATTTTCTATTTTGTTGGTATAAAAGCACCTATAATAAGCCCAGGGAGACAATCCATATTTTAGAGAACGATCAAAAACCATTTTTGAATCATCAAAATAGTTATTCATGAGCTTCAAGACTTTTGAAAAGGTGTGATTGACAATAAATTTCATTTTTTCTTTGCATACCTCTGAACAAATACCAGGTTGGAATACAGGAAAACTATCTTGGTCCACTAATTCCTGCAAATACATGAAATCGTATTTATACAATTCTTTCACATCGAATTTTGAATGGAGGCACTCTAAATCACTTCTGTCTTTCATTTTAATGTAAAAAATATGAATACAATAATTATTATTATTATTATTTTTGAAAATTAAAAATAATTTAAAATTTAAAATTTATGTTTGGGGGGAAAAAAAAAAAAAAATTTTTTTTCAAAATTAAAAATATATTTAAATTTCTTTTTTTAAATAAAAAATTAATAATAGAACTAGCTCCAAAATTTAAAAATAGACTTAATTTTATTCATACATAATATTTAATAAATAAAAAAACTAAATTTATTTTTTTTAAAAAATTTTTTTTTTATGATAGGTCAAATCTTTTGGAAAGATAATTTATTTTTTATTTTGATTAAAAACTTTTAATATTTTGTGAAACCACCTCTATTTTCAATTATTTGTAAGATTCTTTTTGGAATTGATTGATATTAATTATCAATAACTTCTCGTTTCTATCATCTTTTAATTTGTTTTTTATATTAATTGTGTTTTTTCATTTTCTGCAATTGTAAATCTACTCTTATTTTTTTTTAGTTCATCATTGTGCTTTACTTAAAAGAATGCATCTAATGTGATTATTGTAATTATTTTTTCTATAATTATTTTTCCAATTATTACAATTATTATATCTATAATCATTATTATATTTATTATTTCTATTTTGTGAATTCTTCTCTTTGTTTTGACAATATTTACTAAAGTGTCTTTTCATTCAGCATGAATAACAAAGGACCGACATGTTTTGTGTATCATTGCTTATACCAACAACATTAAAATTTATAGTTGGACTATTTGAATTTGCTAAAGAGTCAATAGGGGTTCCAAAAATACTCTTTTATTTTTTTTTTTGTTATCCAATGATCTAATGAACTATTTCATTAGCGACACAATAAAACGAAGTGTGGAAAATCAAAAAAAAAGCAAAATCTATTAACGTAAAATAAAATTTTAAAAGAAAAATTCAGTTCAAATCTAAACATTGAATTGCGAAAGCAGTCAGAATATAATTTATTAACCACATTTATGTAAATAGATAAAAAATTCAAATAAAATAAATACTACAGTTAGTTGCATAAATTTTGCAACACACATATTATTTTTGCAATTTATATAATAAAACTTTATGGTTTAAATTTTGGATTTTCGGAGTAACATAAATAAAAATCATTTAATCTATACTTAAATAAAATATATTTTAAAGGTTGTAAGAAAAAAAATATATTATTTTTTTTTATATTTTTTTTTTTTATTATTATTATTTCTATGTTGCAAAATTTTAGAATAAAGATTTTGAGTAAAGGTTTTTTTGAAATTTTTTTATAAAAAAATTTGTAGTTATTATAATTTATTAATATTTAGTGAATTCACCTCTATTTTGAATTATTTTATTTATTCTGGTTGAAATTGATTCATTTAATTTTTAAAAATGATTGTTCAATATTAAACCAAATAAGATAAATTGATTTATCAAAAGGTTCATGAGGTTTGGCGATGCAACGTTGAACTAAACGTTTTTTTAAGATTGACCATAGGTTTTATATTATATTTAAATCTGGTGAAGAGGGTGGAATAAATTGTACTCTAATGTTATTTTCTTCATATTATTTTTTAACAGCAGCTGACTTATGGACAGAGCAGTTATCTTGAAAAAGAGTGACTTTAAAAAAATCAATTTCATAGTCTTTTAATGTTTCCATATATTCATCTCCCATTACATTTATGTAGGTATCGCCATCCATGTTACCATTAATATAGGCTCCACAACCAAACTCATGCAAAGTAATGCAACCCCAAAAAAATTTTGAAATTACAGATGGTCTTTTTCTTTTTAAAATATTTTCTTCTTTCATATACTGCCCTGAATCCATCTTTTATGCCTCTTTTTTTAAGAAAATCTTACAATTTTGGTTTCATCTGCTAAAATCACCTGTTTCCAATTTTCTGTGGTATAATTTTTAATTTTTTTTACCTAAGTATACCTTTGCATCTCAGTTTCTTTTGTAAAATAATGCTTGCATTACAAATAACTATAAAAAATGTTTTGTCTCTTTAGAATTCTTCTAATTGTTGAAGTTGAAAGTTTTATACCCAATGATCTTTGGACAAGCCTAGGTAAACTAATGCATTATTTGATTGACCATTCAGTGTGAATTTTTTGCAAAATTTTTTTGTTTCAAAAGTATACTTTCTTGGAACTCCTGGAATTGGTTTTGGATTAATTGAGTTTGTTTTTTGATATTGTTTTCGAATTCGGTAAATGGTTGACCTATTTACACCAAAAAATATTTGCGATTTCTTGATCACTTTTTCCTTTGAGAAAATTTTCTAAAAATAACTCTCTTTTTTCTAATTAAAGGGCCATTTTAATTTAAAATTTAATTATCTTTTAAACTATGTTTGTAAATATATGAAAAAATAAAAATATAAATTTTTGTTAAAAATATACATACACTCAAAGTTATTTATCAAAAATTTTGCATCAAACAAATAATGACAATAAAAAAAAAAAATAAAAAAAATAAAAAAAAATAAAATTTAAAAAAATGGCAAACAAGAATTTTAAATAACCGACACTTATAATTTTATTTAAAACAAACAATATTTTTTAATTTAAAAATTCTTCATAGATATTTAACAATTTCTAAAATCAAAATGCTTGTTGCAAAATTTATGCAACTAACTGTAATAATAATAATAATTTATAAATTAAATAAAAAATATAATAATTTTAAATTAAAAAAAAATAGAAATAAAATTGTTAAAAAATAATAAAAAAAGGGCGGAAACAAATTATGATATGCGTTTATAAACTGTTATTTTAGATCTATTGGCAAATTTAGACTTTTAATTTTATTTTTTAATTTTTTTTAAAGAATTCATCAATTTTTTTTTTTGATTCCTCTTTTAAAAATTCATTTGTGTTGTCACAGAGTCTAACTAGTTTCCCATCTACAAAACCAACATTCATAAGATTTATATATGGAATATCTGAATTTTGTATACTATTTGAATTAAGGCACCTATAATAAGACCAGGGAGGTAATCCATAATCAAGAGAACGATCAAAAACCATTTTTGAATCATCAAAATAGTTATTCAAGAGCTTCAAGAATGTTGAAAAGGTGTGATTGACAATAAATTTCATTTTTTCTTTGCATGCCACTGAACAAATACCAGGTTGGAATACTGGAAAATCATCCTGGTCCACTAATTCCTGCAAATACATGAAATCGTATTTATACAATTCTTTCACATCGAATTTTGAATGGCCGCACTCTAAATCACCTCTATCTTCCATTTTAATGTAAAAAATATGAATAGAAAATTTAAAAAAAATTTTTTTTTGCAAATTAAAAATAATTTTAAATTAAAATTTTTTTTTAAAAATTAAAAAAAATAATTTAAATTAAAAATTTCTAATAAAAAATTAAAAATAGAACAAGCTCCAAAATTTAAAAATAGACTTAATTTTATTAAGTAACTTAATTTTATACCACTTAGGGTTTGTTTGCTGAAAAGTTTTATGTCTTTCATAGCAATAAGTGGTTCCTCTATCAATTCTTTGTTGCCCTATGGTTGTTATTATTGATCATCTTTTAAATTGTTTTTTATAAAATTTAAATTTATTAACGACATTTGTGTAATATATATCTAGATAATAAAAAATTCAAATAAAATAAATAATAATATTTATAATTTATAAATATAATAAATTTAAAATATATATCACAATTTTTCTCTTTTCCTCCTTTCTTTTAATTTTTTTTTTATACATATATAAATAAATTTTTTTTAATAAAAATTTTTTAAAAAAAAAAATAAAAAAAATAAAAAAAATAAAAAATTAAAAATACAGTTTTTTTTACTTTATTTAATTATCTACACTTTTATCTATTTTGATTTTAGATTTTATTATTTTTAGGTTTTAGTATGATTTGTTTATGTGGAGGTGTGGGATTAATATTTTTTTTAAATTTCTAAATTAAAAAAAACATTCCGGAATATGAAATTTAATATACAGTTTGGAATTTAATATACAGGAGGTTTATGGGATGAGAAATACTAAATCTTTTCATCTATTAGAACTATTTGACTATTTACCATAGTTGTTTGGCCAGAACAATATGGCATTCATCAAAAGTTGATTAGATCGAAAAGTTTGGTTGATGTTTACTTGATTGGACTAAGAGATATATGAGTTGGAACAAAAGCAATGTCATTTAGGAATGTACCATTTTCATCCTGGTATATGGGGCCTCAGATTGATTGAGCTAGGGAAGCGTGAGGGCAAATGAATCATGGTATCTTTGAAGAGAAGTTAATCTTAGAGCCTTCTTTAAATTTACTATGGTTTGGGGAGACACTTGAATTGGCTGAATATTAACTTCTTTATAAATAAATAGGTATGGGCAGATCTTACTAGTATTTAATATGGTCAAACTATCCTGAAAAATAAAAAAATTGGTTAGTTAATCTTTTCCATATTGCTTTAAGGCACCAAATTCTATTTGTTGGTTGTTATTGTTGTTTTATAACTATATGATAATTTACTTACTTTCTAATTATTGTTTGAATCTGCCATGTTTTTTAAAAATATTTATACAGGGTGTAATATAAAATAAAATTATTAAATAGTGGTTATAAAATGGGTTGGGAAATGAATAATAAAGTGTGTGGGTATACAACAAATTGATTTTAAATAATAATTATTTTGGAAAATAACAACAACAAAATTTAAAGATACTGGCGAAAATTATTATAAAATAGTGTAACTGTGGCTATCCTGCCGAAACATGAAACGGGTTATTATTGCTGTGAGAGAGTTAACACCAAAACGATATGGAAAACTTATAGACTAAAATTATTTATATGCATAAATGGTAAAAGTTATAATCTAAATTTAATAAATAAAAAATATTAATAAAGAGTCTAATATTAAATAAAAAATATGAATAATGATATAATACCTTGGTTACATTAAATTAAAAAACTGAGAAACTATAAATATGTACCAAACTATAACTAGATTAAATTTGAAGTGGTTACATATAACCCCAGGAATTTTTAATTTCCATGAATCTCTTGAAGTGTTCAGAGCGGATGCTTTCACTTGCAAAATAATAATAATTGCAAATAATATTATAAGTATCATTATGCAATTGTTGGAATGCTTCGTGAAAGTGGAGACATTCTAACTCTTCAAAAAGATCCAATGTGGAACACCATACCATGTCGATTATTTCTACGTCATGGATTTTATCATTTGCTTTGTTGTCATGGAGGGCAATGGCGAAATCTTTAAATATTGAAACAGCTCCCTCGATTTGGTATAGTCTATAGTATGTCTTTTTACACTTGGTAATAATGTTGTATAGCTCTTCGATATATGATCCAACCATATCTACATGTTCTTTTGGAATATTTGGATCAAAATATTCTTCAGCAAATACTTTGGAAACTATTAGACTACTAATAGTTTTTACATCATCTGATACCTTTTGATAATAAACTGCACAGTTTAAAACATTTTTAATAAGGAGGTTAATTTGTTGAGTTGCTAAACTTCTTAAAAAGTTACCCTTTGATAAGCTATTATCAATAACTTTTAATGCCTCCAAGATATTATTATTATCTTCTGATACTAAATTATATTTAATTTTTTCTAATAAAAATGATTCAGAAAGATTATAAAGTTTATCTGTTTTTTTGTTAATGTTGCTACTGATGCTGTTTTCTGGTGTTTGCTGTTGTTTTGGTTGCTCTGGTAGCTCTGATTTGTTTGTTTGTTGTTGTTGTTGTTGTTGTTGTTGTTGTTGTTGTTGTTGTTGTTCATGATGAACCCTATTATTAAAATCTAAAAAAATAGTTAGACACTTCAATTAAAATATTTATTTTACTATCTAATACCTACTTCTTTTTTTTAAAACATTTTCATAAATCTCTATATGTTTTTTTAAATTTTCAATATCGGTTTTAAGTTTTTCATCATCTAATAATTTATTAAAACCGATATAAATTTTCTAATTTATCCCTATAGATTTTTATTAAGGATTGGAATAAAAATCTATATAATGTGGCTAAAGTAAAAAATCTAAAATGATAAATTTTAATACCAATTTTATATATAAAAAAAAATATATTTAAAATGAACAACTTACATAATTGGGAATAAAAAAGCATGTATATAACATTTTGATTTTTCAAACAATATAAAAATTAAAATAAAAATAAATAAATAATAAAACCCAAATAATGTTGATGTTCATACATTTATTATATTATTATTATAATAAAAAAGAAAATGAGTTTGACACATTGCAACGATATATATAAAACAGGATTTATGTTTCAATTTTCTAAAAAAAAAAAAAATTATTAAAAAACACATAGCATTCACAATGTAAAATGTAGAATTTTTAAATATATTTATTTTTTATTTAAAATTGGTATTAACATTTTAGAATTTAAACATTAGCTAAATTATATAAATTTTTATTCCAATCTTTAATAAAAAGCAATGAGAATAAATTAAAAAAACTAAATGTCGATTTTAAAAAATTATAAGATGATACCAAACTAGAAGCCAATATTGATAACTTAAAAAAAAAAATAGAGGTATATGAAAATTTAAAAATAAGAAGCAGGTATAAAATATTTTTAATAAATATTATAACTGTAGTGTCTAACTCTTTTTTAGATTTTAATAATAGGGTTAAACTAGATCAAACAACCACAACAACCAGACCAACCGGACCAATCGGACCAACCACAACAACCAAACCAACCACAACAACCACAACAACCAAACCAACCACAATAACCCCAAAAACCAATTTAATAGGGTTAAACCAGACTAACTTTCACAACAACCAGACCAAAATATAGTGGACTTTCAAATGAAACATATTCAATACTTTCAAACGAAGTAGATATCATAATAAACTCAGCAACTGATCTAAATTTACAATCAAAATAACAAGAAAGTAAACCTGTAAATGCCAATGGTGTTAAAGAGCTAATTAAACTATCAGTATCAAACCAAACACAAAAACCAATTGTCCATTTTTCATCATTCTCAGTATCCTTTAATAATTCATGTTGAAGAGTCTGATGAAGATAAATTATTAACAAGTTTTGAAAGCATCAATAGGATATATACAGTCAAAAGTAATCAAAGAACATCTATTAACATATGCAAAAAAATCAAGAGGTATTCCATCATTAACAATTCGTTTACCAGATATCTGGTCAAATCCTCAAACCGGTATAGGTCATCCAAACGATTTTCTCCACATCTCAATTCAAGTTTCCAGTACTATTGGCTATTATCCAAATATCTATAAAGACTTGTTTACTACACCTATTACAGTTTTATCTAGAAACATAATAAATTATAATATTTCCAAATAAAAAAATAATTAAACAAAATGTTTATTAAATATGTAACACAGAATAAGGCTTTTTTATCTTTTTTTTTAAATTTTTTATTTTTACACCAACCTATAATTTTGTATTGCAGAGGACCAAGAGATAAAGAAGAAGTTGAAGAAACATGTAATGTTAAAACTTTCAAAATATATTTTTAAAAAAACTAATTTATACAATTGTTATATTTTATTTTATTTTATTTTTAATTTCTATTAAATTGTTGTCTTTGATTCCAATTTTGTTGATTATTAAAATTGCCCATGTTTGGATTACCCATGTTAGGACCACTCATGTTTGGATTGCCCATCATTGGATTACCCATGTTAGGACCACTCATGTTTGGATTACCCATGTTAGGGTTGCCCATGTTTGGATTACCCATATTTGGATTACCCATATTAGGACCTCCCATATTTGGATTACCCATGTTTGGATTGCCCATATTGGGGTTACCCATCATTGGAGTGCCCATGTTTGGTCCTCCCATGTTTGGATTATAGTTTTGATTACCACCCATATTTGGGTTACCCATGTTTGGTCCTCCCATATTTGGATTACCCATGTTAGGACCACTCATGTTTGGATTACCCATATTAGGATTTCCCATATTAGGACCACCCATGTTAGGGTTCATGTTTGGATTATAATTTGGATTTCCCATGTTTCCTCCCATATTACCACCCATATTAGGATTACCCATATTACCCATCATTGGATTTTGATTATACATTTGTGGTGATTGATTAAAGCCTGGTTGGCTTTGTTGTGAGTTTTGTGGTTGATTCTTTGGATTCATTACTAAAATTTGTTGTGCTGTATTTTGTGATATCATTCCCAATACTACTTGAGCATGGAGCAAAGCTAAACCCATTTGCGGATAATTCATTAAAATAGATCGAGCTTGATCTGGTTGATTTTGTACAAAATTTTTCATATTATTTAACATTTCGAATAACTGTGCAGGATTTGTATTTTCGATTAATGATTGAATTGGGTGTTTTTGTTGTGAATTTTGAAAATCATTTCCTCTCCATTGTTGGTTTTGTTGTGGGTTTTGCTGTTGTGGATTTTGCTGTGGGATTTGTTGTGGATTTTGTTGTGGATTTTGTGGGCTTTGTTGCTGATTTGGTTGTGGTATTTGTGGTGGTTGGCCTTGAAGTCTTGGATCAGATGGCATTTGTGTTGGTTGCTGTTGTTGTTGTTGTAGATTTGGTTGGTTTGGTTGATTTGGTTGGTTGCCTTGCATTAATGCATTTTCGTTATCTGCAAATGAAACTCTTAATTGTCTACCGTTGAAATCTACTCCATTAAGTATAATAATAAAAAAAATTAAAATGTAGACATGTATTTATTAAACTACCAATGATATTACCAATTAAAAAAAAAAAAAAAAAAAAAGAAAAGAGTAAGATTATCAAATAAAAATTAAATTAAATAAAAAAAAAACCCTAATTTTAATTTAAAAAAAAATATATAAGAGTAGATATATCTTTAATTATTTATAAATTATAATAGTAAACTATTACTTTATTTTTTTTTTATTTTTTATAATTTTTAATTTGATTATTTTTTTTTTTTAATCAGTGATAATTGATAATAATAATATGCCTCTATTGTGACTAAACAAAAGTTAATTTAAAATCGTTTCTGTCAAAAGATTTGCTGTCAATCTCTGTTGCATATAATCTATAATATAAATAAAGGCTATTACATAAACAAAAATATGATAAAGTTTGAATAAAATAAATAATAGATTTTTATATAATCTCTATTACTGATTATTTATTTTTAAACTACTCTTTATCATGTAAACAAACAATTCTATTGCTATTATTATTGCTATATTATTATAGTTTGATGATGATTTAAAATAAAAAGTAATTTATAATTATTTTACAACATATTATTCCTAATAGCACTTAATGCACTTTCTGCATTTTCATATTCGCAAAAACCATATCCTCTTAATTTATTCTTTTCTTTATCTTCCAATAACCTAAATGATACAACTTTACCGGCTCCTGAAAATATATCTATTAAATCTTGTTCATTAGCTTCATAGGGTATATTTCCAACTGTATTATAAAACGTTAATAATCAATAACTAATATTTAAAACCATTACTTTATTATTATTATTATTATTATTATTATAATTATTATAATTATCTATTATTATTATAAAAAACAAATTATATTTTAAAAACTATAACAGTTTAAAACTATTATTTTTTTGTTGGATAAGGTTGTGAATGAACAATAAACAAACGACATTAACTTACCAAATACACTTTTTGACATGTCTTTCTATATATAAAACCTATATAATTATTAAAAAAAGAAACTATTGAAAATTAATAATTTCAGTTATTGCGTTGAATTTGTTTTATTAAAAAAAAAATACAAAAAAATTATTAAAAAAAAAAAAAAAAAAAAAAAAAAAAAAATATTTTAAAATTTTTTTTTTTTAAAAAAATAATTATTTTATATTTCTATAAAGAAAAAGATAGATATATTTTAAAAAACAATTTATTTATATAAAGAGAATAGATATTGTTTTGTATTGTATATGGATAATTGTAACCTTATTTTTTATAAATTTTTTTTTTTATAGAAATATAAATTAATACGTAAATTTTTATTTTTTTTTTTTATTTTTTTTTTTTTTTTGTTTTTTTTTTTTTTTATTTTTTTTTTACTTAATATTTCATTTCATTTTTGATTTTTAAACCAAGTGTTAAATTAATACCACATTTAAAATTTTATTATTTAAAGATTTAAATATAAATATTACTATTAATAATAATAATAACAATAATAATAATAATAATAAATAAAATAATTATAATAATAAATTTTTTATAAAAAAAAAGAACAAAACAATAAAATATACCGATATACCCATTGCAAATAAAATATTAGCCATAGCAATTATTATAAATTATAATAATATTAATTATAATAATAATTATTATAATTATAACTAAAAAAATAAAAGACAACACTAAAAATAATAACAATCAAAAACATATAGTTAAAAAGAAAATGTCGTCATTTCTATTGACCAAAAAAGCATCGAAATTATTTTTAAATAGTTCAACACAAAATTATTTAAAAAATAGCAAGTTGTTTTACTGCTCCTCATCAACACCCGTACCATCATCAGCAGCATCACCAAATCCAAATTTAAATATTAAACAACCTACTATATTACCAGATAACGAACCATTAATAGATATTAATAATAACAATGAAACATTACAACCATTAAGAGAAATTTTAAAAGAAAAATTATTTAAAGGTATTAGTGGTGACACTATTCCAGAACAACACCAAAATCACGTTCGTCAAGAAAAACAATCATTTTTAAATAATAATAATAATGGCATCAAAAAACAGACTGAAAAAGCCATAACAAAAATAAACTCTCTACTCTATGCCAACAAAGACTTTCAATCAATTATTAAATTGTTTAACTCTAGCTATACTGCATCGACCGAATTTTTAGTTGAAAAAGATATCGATCCATTATTATTAAAGACATCACAACCAGAAGAACCAGTCAAAGTAAAGAATAGATATATATTGGTTGGCTTGGGTAATCCAGGAGATAAATATTTAGATACAAGACACAACGTTGGTTTTAAAGTAGTTGACCGTATCTGCGAATTATTTGGTGTTTCCTTAGACCAAAAGAACAAGCTTTCAGAATACACAACATTTTATTTAAGATTAGACGACAAACAAGAAAAAAAGAGATTAATGGAAGAGCATAAAAAGAGACGTATAGAATCACAAAATACAATTAAAATTCAATTTATGGAATATCTTTTAAAAAAACAACTCTCCTTAAATGCCAACGATTTTAAAATTGAAGAATTATTAAGTTTAACATTAGAACAAAAACTTATGGTTCTCTTGGATAAGGTTGATTTTAATGAATCCATGCAAAACTTTAAAAAGGAATTTGAATTAAACTTTAACCAACAACAACAACAACAGCAACAACAAGAACAACAAGAACAAGAAAAATCACAAAAAAAAGATAATATAATTAAACCATCTAAAATCATTAAACAAGTCATTTTATTAAAACCACAAAACTTTATGAATAGATCGGGTGCCTCCATTAGAAACATTTCAACCGAATTCGATGTACCAACAGAAAATATTTTAGTTTTCCACGATGAAATTACACAAGATACAGGGAATATTATAATGAAAGCCAATGGAGGGGCCTCAAACCATAATGGCGTAAAGGATATTATTGATCGTTTAAAAACCCAAAAATTCTCAAGATTTAAATTGGGTGTAGGTCCAAAAAACAACGAACCAACACATTTATTTGTTTTAAGAAGAGTTTCCAATGAAAACCAACCAAAATTAGACTCAAGTATCGAAAAAGCTGCTTTATATTCAATTATGTGGTTAGAAAAAGGTCCAAAAATGTTTTCAGAAGAAAATTTAGATATCAATTAAGTTTATATATAAAAAAATAAAAAAAAGAAAGGAAAAAAAAAATATATATTATTTTCTTCTTTTATTTGCGCACTGTAACATTTAATTTTATAATACAATAATCAATTTATTATATATTTTATTTTATTTATTTTTTTAAAAGGGTTTTTTTGTTTTCTTTTTTTTTTTTTATATATAATTTATATATTTTAAAGTTGATATTTGTTTTTTTCTTTTTTTTTTTTCTTTTTTTTAGCCTGATAAAGCAAGAGTTGTAATACCAGCACCCAAAAATAAGAATGAGATTAATAAAATTAATAAATTTTTAACACCTTGAATTTCTTTAAAGTATACTACAGACCAAATTGATGATACAACCATTGGACCTGAGGCACCCATTGGGAAACCGACAGTATAACCAAGATTTTGTGTGGCAACCATTAAACCACAGTTAGCAATACCCCATAAGACACCAGAGAAGAATGATGGGAGCATAGTTTGTGGGAAAACTTGTGGTGGACGTTTAATGATGGCATAAACAAAGAAAACTATAGTATTGAAAATGAAAATACCAGAGAAATGACAGAAAATGAATGATAATGGGTTGGCTGATGGATCAGATTGCTTCCATAATTGCATTGGAACCATGTTAACACCATACATAATACCAGAGAAAATGGCTAAACCAATACCCAACATAGTTTTCATTGGTTGTGGAATTCTTTCAAAGAATGATTTTTCGGTTAATTTTGATGATTGGATTGATCCACGATAACCTGCTTCATTAATAATTGGATAGTCATCAACAATTGATGAGTATGAATTGGATTCTGTATCTTCATTTTCTAAGGTTGGTTTAATAAAGAAAAAGAATACAATAGCTGCTACAATACAACCAAAACCAATCCAATTCATAGCTGGATGTGATACAACTTGTTTTTCCAATCCAAATAATCCAAATTTACCAGTGAAAAAACCTGCAACAATACTACAACAACACCATAATAATAAACCTAAACCTAAACCAATTGTTTTAACAATTGGAATTACACAAAAATTACCAAGTGACCATAAAGTACCTTTAATAATAAAAGAAATAACAATACATTAATTTATTTTCAAATTTAATAACAAACAATAATAAACAATAATAATAATTACCTCCTAATAAACCCCATGGATCGAATAAATATAAATTTTTACCATCTGATCCGGCTATAAACATTGCAACATAGGCAACTGAAATAATACCAACTGACATTACCCATGCAAATGCAATACCATTTCCAGTTGGGAAATTTTTTACAGGTACTATAATATATATAATTTATTTATTTATTTGTTTGGTATTCAAAAAAATTTTACCAGGATTTTTTGATTAAAAATTTTTGACCAGCGCAAAAATTTTTTTTTTTTTTTTTTTTTTTTTTTTTTTTTTATATGTAAAAATATATGTTAGAAAAATGTATCATTGTTTGAAATCCTATAGCCCTATAATTTTATTTCCTACATACCATAATTAGAACCGAAAAATACTATTTATATATAAATTAAATTATAAAAAAAAAAATTAATATATAGTTTTATTTATGTGATATTTTTTTTTAATCCGATTTTTTAGTTTTTTTTTTTTTTTTTTTGTTTTTATTTTTTATTTTTGTTTTTTTTTAGTTTTTTTTTTTTTGGTTTAAATTAAAATACAAACCCGAGGCAACAGCAGCTCCAATATAACCAAGAACTTGTGCATTTACCATTTTATTTCTATAATATTAAATTTCAATACAAAAAAAAAAATATATAAACAATTTTATTATTATTATATAACAATGCACAATTTTTATGATATCGAACCAAAGATGAAATTTAAAAAATAAAAAAAAAAAAATTTAAAAAAAAAAAAATTTTAAAAAAAAAAAAATTAAATATTTAAAATTTAAAAAAAAAAAAAAAAATTTATCCATTATATGTGGTTTGATGGGCAACCTTATTTGATTTGATTGATGGCTAACTATCAATATCAGTTAGTAATAAAAATATAAAAAAAAAAAGAAATAGAAAAGTTAAAATAAAATTTAAATATATTTTCTAAAATAAAAAATAATAAAAATATAAAATATAAAACATAAAATCTAAAATATATATGGAATAAAAAATATATCAAAAAAAGAGAATGAAAATAAATTTAAATTTGGAATATTCCAAATTTATTTTCATTCTACATTGTTTTTTTAAGATTTTTATTTGATTTTTATTTTTTATTTTTTTTATAAATTTGATCTTTAGCCATTATGGCCATCTTATTTATTTTTATTACACATCATCATTTAATTTTATACTAAAATTATTATAATTGTGCAATTCTCTAAAAGTGTTGATTCATTTTTTATTTTTATTTTTATTTTTATTTTTTTTTATTTTATTTTATTTATTTTATTTCCTAAAATATAATAAAACAATGCAATATTGCCATTTTGTTGCTAAATCATTTTTACAAAAAAGAAAAACAACTTTTTTTATTTTATTTTTTTTTTTTTTATTTTTTTTTTTTAAAATTTTTTAATTTTTTTTGAACTTTTTTTATTTTTTAATTCATATGATTTTTTGTTCAATTTGATTCACAAATAAACATAAAACATTTTAACATGTTAGCATCCAAATCATTAATTAAAAATGTAAAGTTTTTAAACATAGGGATATTCAAAAAGTTTTATAGTAATAATATATTATTCTAAAGAATATAAAGAATATAAAGAATATAAAAAATAAAAAAAAAAAAAAAAAAAAAAAAAATTAAATTTATTAAATTTAATTTAAAATTAATAATAATTAAATAATTAAATAAAATTTTTAAAAAAAAAGATAACAAAATTTTTAAAAGATAATGGTTTATTTAATAAATAATAATAAATAATAAATAATAATAATAGTATTAATAGTAATAATAACATAACAATAATAATAGTAATAAAACTTTTATTTTAGAATCACTTTTATCTCTTTTAAAAAAATAAATATATGTTAATTAATTTTTTTTTTTTTTTAATATAGAATTCAACATTTTTAAATTACGTTATCAGAAATATGGCAACTTTTAGATCAGAATATGATACTTTTGGTGAAGTTAAAGTTAATGACGAAAAGTATTGGGGTGCCCAAACTCAAAGATCATTAGAAAACTTTGATATTGGTGGTGAAGCAGAAAAAATGCCATTACCAGTCATCCATGCTTTTGGTATCTTAAAACGTTCAGCTGCTATTGTCAATAAGAAATATGGTTTAGATGCTACTATTGCCGATAACATCTCTAAAGCTGCCACTGAAGTTATTGAAGGTAAATTAGATGATCAATTCCCATTAGTCGTTTTCCAAACTGGTTCAGGTACACAATCAAACATGAATGCCAACGAAGTTATTTCAAATCGTGCTATTGAATTAATGACAGGTAAAAGAGATTTTTCAAAGAAACTTGTTCACCCAAATGATCACGTCAACAAGAGTCAATCATCAAACGATTCATTCCCAACTGCAATGCACATTGCCGCTGCCATTCAAATTAACAAAAAATTAATTCCAGCTTTAGAAACCCTCTTAAATGCTATGAAAGAAAAACAAAACGAATTTGATAGTATCATTAAAATCGGTCGTACTCATTTACAAGATGCCACTCCATTAACCTTAGGTCAAGAATTCTCTGGTTATTGCACCCAAATCGAATATGGTATTTTAAGAATTAAAGATACCCTCCCAAGACTCTACAGTTTAGCTCAAGGTGGTACAGCTGTTGGTACTGGTTTAAATACCCCAATTGGCTTCGATGTTGATATTGCCAACGAAATTGCCAAATACACCGGCCTCCCATTCAAAACCGCCCCAAATAAATTTGAAGCTTTAGCTGCTCACGATGCTATGGTTGAAGTTAGTGGTGCCCTTAACACCATTGCTGTTTCATTAATGAAAATCGCCAACGATATTCGTTTACTTGGTTCAGGTCCACGTTGTGGTTTAGGTGAATTAATTCTCCCAGAAAATGAACCAGGTTCATCAATTATGCCAGGTAAAGTTAATCCAACTCAATGTGAAGCCATGACCATGGTCTGCGCTCAAGTTATGGGTAACAACACTGCCGTCACTATTGGTGGAAGCAATGGTCACTTTGAATTAAATGTATTCAAACCAGTTATCATCAAGAATGTTCTCTCCTCAATTCGTCTCATTGCTGATGCCTCAATTTCATTCACCAAAAACTGTGTTGTTGGTATTCAAGCCGATAAAAAGAGAATCGATCAACTTTTACACGAATCACTCATGTTGGTCACTGCTCTTAACCCATACATTGGTTATGATAAAGCTGCTCAATGTGCCAAAAAAGCCCACAAAGAAAAAACCACTCTTAAACAAGCCTGTCTTTCATTGGGCTATCTTACCTCTGAACAATTTGATGAATATGTTAGACCAGAAAACATGGTTAAACCAGGTATGGAAAAAAAATAAACACCTCGAAATTAAGTTAAACTAGGTATATAAATTAAAAAAGCAATCAATTAGTATTATCTAATTTCAAATGTAATAAAAAAAAAAAATTTTAAATTAAATAATCAAAAAAAAAAAAAAAAAAAAAAACTTTATTGATCAAAATTTTTAATTGTTTTAGCATTTATTTTTTCAAAGACGATTATCATTTAATAGGAATATCACAAAAATTAAAGAATAAAAACCAATTTATAAAATTTTTTAGGACTTTGAATTATTTCTTTAAATTTTGAAATTTTATTAAAGAAAAAGATTGCTATTTTTTTACCTTGTTGTAAATTAAAATATGAAAAAAAAAAAAAAGAAAATTTTTTTTAAAAATTTAAGTTTTAAATTAAAAAAAGGTACTTTATTAATTATTAAAATATGAGATAAACTCAATATAAATATAATTTATATTGGTTATTTAATAACCTATTAATTTATATTAATTTTTTAATAACCGAAGTAACGGGATGATCTTGGGCATGATCTTCTCCAGTTTTCTGAGCATAATGGAACAACACCCCAACTGTTATCAGTACCACAGAGTGATGGGAAGAAAGTATCAGTGATTTCTTCTAAGACACCACCAATTAATTGAGTGTTGTGGTTGATACCGTAACCTAATTTGAAGATTTCATTGGAGTCCATTGGTAATTGGTTGAAACAACGTTCGCAGTACATGTTGTTGACGTATGAGGCAAAGATGGTTTTGTCGAATTTTGACCACATAATGGCACCTGAACACATAACGCATGGTTCACCAGTGGTGTATAAGTAATGATCTTCCCAAGTTTTCTTACCATACATTTGGGTACAGTTGACGATGGCTTCGATTTCACCGTGATAGATTCTAGCACGACCAGTGTTAACACCAGTACACATAACGGTACCATTTTTGTGAACAATAGCAGCAGCAAACTTAGCATTGTTGTCAATGGCGACTTGGATGGCGATTCTCATGTATTTTTCATGGAAGACTTTATCAGCAGCTGATAAATCTTTAGCTTGGACTAAATCAGACTATAATTTTGAAAGAATTAGATTAATATAAATTTTTTGTTTTTTTTTTTGATTATGTTTATTTATTTATACATACTGGTGGGACATCTAAGTAGGCTGATTTTGGGCAATCGTTATGGGCAGTTGCAAAGGCAACAAAGATGAATAAAATGAGTGATAAGAGTAATTTCATTTTTTTGATTTAAGTAATAATATAAAAAGTAATAATACAACTAGTAGTGTTATAATACAAAGAAGTGATTGATAATAATGAAAAATAAAAAAAAAAAACTGGCTTTAAATAGAAAAGGAACACCATAGCATTTTTTTTTTTGTGTTTTATGTGGTTTTTGTTTTTTTTTTTTTTTTCTTAAAAAAAATTAATTTAAAATAAAAAAAATCACGTTCATATTATTATTATTATTTTTCTATCAAAAAAACTGTGATTATAGTTGCGTATATACGAGTTATTTTTTTAAAAAAAATCTAAATGCACTCAACCAACAAAATTCATATTGCGCTATGGGTGCAATCCACATAATATTGTGTATTTTTTTTAATTTTTATTAGTTTTTGTTTTTTTTGATTTTTATAAAAAATATAATTTTTTTTTTTTTAAAAAATTTTAATTTTTTTTTTATCCAATCGTTCGTTCGATAAAAATCAGATAGTTAGATATATTTGAGATAATAGTTTTTCAAATAATACATGTCTTGCTCGTATTGAATATTTAAGAATTCGTTCTCTGAAAGAAATTTAAAAAAAATAAGATATTTAAGAAACAGTGTGGCACAACAACATACATCTTTCAACCAATTGATTGATATATTGTAAAATTAAAATAATTAATAATTAAAAAAAAAATAAATAAAAAAAAAAAGATAAATATTTCAAAAAAATTTCAGAAAAATATATATTTTTTCTTTTGATATTTTGATTTTACAGTGAACGAAAGAAAACTGTTAATAATCAAAATATTTTAATTATTAAAATATATAATTTTTTTATTTGATTTATGGACTATTGGAAAATAAAAAGACAATCAATTAAAAATTTTATATATAACGAGAAAAAGATTTACCACGAACGAGTTTTAAAAAAAAAAAAAAAAAAAAAAACTGTTAAAATAATTTTTAAAATAATTAAAATTTGAATTAACCAATAAAAAGACTCAATAACGAAGAGCAAAGATATTTAGGCGAGTAGGGCGAGTATTAATTTTTATTGGCCCCTCCTAAGACCAAAAAAAATTTTATTAGAACGCGTCACACTCACTTTTTTTTACCAACCAAAGAATTAGATTTTTATTTTTTATAAATTTCAGAAAAAATGTTTTATTATTTTTTTTCATATGAGCTTTTTTTTTAGGAATACATTTCAAAACATAGGAATAATTGAAAATAAAATAGAAAAAAAAAAAAAAATAGATATATTTCGAAAAAACAACCATAAATAACATTTTTTTTTTTATATATCTGTTTCTTTTGTTATATAAGGCTGATCAAAATAATTTTAAATAAAATTTTTTTTTTTTTTTTTTTTTAAAAATTTTTTTGATTGGAGAAATAAAAAAACTTTTTTGTTTAATAATATTATTTATTTTTTTTTATTTTTTTTTATTTTTATTTTTTTTTTTAAAATAATTTAATGGTTCTATTGATGATGAACTGCTGACATATGACCTGGCATTTCTCTACCTAATACAAGTCTTCCACATACACCACAGGTATAGGTTTTGGTTTCACATTCACTTTGATGTTCATTCATTTGAATATATTTAACCAATTTATTACAATAGTTACATCTTTCTTGTCTTAATATACATTCAGTGTTTTTGTGGTAGCTCATTAGATCTAACCCAACTTCTTTACCACAAAAATCACATTCGCTGAATGATTTATTTGAGTTGTTACGAACTACTATTTGTTGGTTATAGTTGTCATTGTGTTGTTGATGTTGGTGTTGATGTTGATGTTGATGCTGGTGTTGATGATGTTGTTGATGATGATTAAATTTAGGTTGATAGTTTTCGCCACCTCCTGGAATACGTTTATTCTTTCTCATAAATGAATCATAGTCGTCATAATCATTTGGATTATAGGTTGTTCTTTGTGGTGGAAGTTCAAATGGATCATCATAGTCATAGGATTTGCTTCTAGATCTTCCAGAGAGCTTCTTTAAAATACCTCCTGAACGGCTACTACTGTTATATGAGCTTAATGGCATTGGTGGTGGGTTGTGGTAGCTATCTTGGTATGATGAATATGGTTGAGGTTGTTGGGGTCTACGTGATGGCTCGGTATTGCTTCTTGGTCTAGTTTGTTGTTTACGTAACTCGGTTTCAGTATTATGCTTGGCTATATCTTCTTCCTCTCTTTGTAGTTTCTTTGCAATTTCTCTATCATTTTGTATTTGAATATTTTTTTCTTGAATATCTCTCCATGCACGTTTTTGATCTTCATCTGCTCTATCAAGACTATTACCGCTTTCAAAAGTTGAACGTGAAGCTGGGAAAACGGGATCACTACTAATCTTTTTACCAAACATTTCATCTAGTGGTTGTTGTGAATCGAATGGGTTACCAAGTGGAGTGTGTGTAATGGTAGTGGTAGTAGTTGTTGATGGTGGTTGTAGTGGAACCATTTGGCCATTAACCATTTGATATTGTTGTTGCTGTTGTTGTTGTTGTTGATATTGTTGTTGCATATTTTGTTGATGCATTTGTTGATGTTGAAGAATAATTTGGTCATTAACAAAAGGATTTTGACTATTTGGTTGTGGTTGTTGTTGTTGTGATTCAACAGACTGTTGGTTATAGTTCATCATTTGTTGTTGTGGTTGTAAAGATAATTGATTGTTATTCATCATTTGTTGGTTTTGATGTTGTTGTTGTTGGTTTTGTTGTTGATCATTTAATACCATAAGTTGATTGTTACTATTATTCATCATTTGTTGTTGGTTTTCTAAAAATGGATTGAATTGTTGATTATTTATCATTTGATTATTGGCCATCATTTGATTGTTTCCCATCATTTGATTATTTCCCATCATTTGATTGTTGGTCATCATTTGATTGTTCATATTGTTCATGTTGCCCATATTATTCATATTATTGTTCATATTATTGTTCATATTGTTGTTCATATTATTATTCATATTATTATTCATATTATTATTTATTTGATTATTATTCATTTGATTGCTATTTTGTTTTTGCTGGTATGGTGGGCTATCATAAATGCTTGTTGGAGGTGGTTTTGGGGTTGCAGTTTGTAGTTGAATTTTTGAATAGAAAGATCCATTGTTATTGTTGTTATTGGTATTTGTGGTTTTTTCATTTAAATAACTATGTTGGTCAAATGGTCTATCACTAAATGGCGGGAAAGATTGTTTGTTTTCTGTTTGACTTGGTGGTTTTGAGTTAAAATATTCATTTTCACCCCTAAATGGGTTGAATGGTTTGCCACTTTGATCATACTGAGGAGCTTGGGATGCATTGGTAGATGCAGAGGCATTATTAGTATTGTTGATATTATGCTGTTGATTTTGATGTTGATTTTGTTGATTTTGTTGATTTTGTTGATTTTGTTGATTTTGTTGATTTTGTTGAATGACACTATTGCCACTGCTATTTAGAATATGTTGCTGATGTTGTTGTAATAAGTCACTTGTATTACCTAATGATAAGGTTTCAAACTCCTTAGATAATGAGCCTTTAGAGTCTAAAACATTTTTATTTTCATTGCTATTTCTAGTTGGTGATGTGGCTTGATTACTAACTACAGGTTTTTGTGATGGTGATGTGAATGATGGGGTTGAGCCAGGTGTTGGTTTAGATGTAGATACAACATCATTGACATTAACATTATCTTTTATCCATTTCTTATCGACATATTTCATTTTAATGAATTCCCTAACCTTTTTCTGGTCGGATGGATATGGAACTGGACATTGAGATGGATTCCATTTTGATAACCAAATTTCACTTGCCATTTTATTACCAAC